CGCTCTAGAGCCGGCATCGCGGGGCGGAGGAGATTCAGTGGATCCACCCCAGCCATCCGCCCCCCAAAGCGGGCCACACAGGGGCCAGTGGCCGTTCCCAGCAGCTGAGCTTCAGGAGCTTCCGAGGCTTCAGGAGCTTCAGTCGTCCCCAGTGCCATGGGGCGAATTCGTTGGGTCCAGAGGTGGCACGCTGTGGGCCCACCAGTCGTCGGCCGTAGCTTCGCGAGAGGTCCCGCCAGGCGTTGCCCAGAAGCTAGCTCGCACGCCCGCGTTGAGGGAGCGAGTGGAAGCGCTCGTCCAGCCCGCGGCGCCTCCCCCCGCCTTCTCTGGCGGGGGAGGGCCTTGTGATTCCACGGCCGGCCGCTGTGGCACCCGCGGCGCCTGGCCGCGCCCCTGCCCCTGCCGGCCCCGTCGCGCATCGCAGCGGGTCTCCGCAGACCGCTCGCAGCAGCCCGCCTGCTCCGCATGCTGCCGCCGCCCGGCCAGCAGCTCCAGGGAGCGCTGCTGCAGCCCTCGTGGCAGTGCCCGCCCAGGCGGCGCCACGGCCCCCCCCCCTGCCAGCGGCGCTGGCGCAGCGCCCGATGCAGCGCTGACGCGCGTAAAGTCCCTAGTCAACTTGTCAACGGCGTCGGAGCACAGTGCGGCGAGTGGCGCGCGGCGCCAACGCGTGCGCGAAGTTGTAGGGCACTCCGCGGGCGGCAGGGTGTCCATGCAGGCGACTGGTATAGTGCAGTGCGCCAGTCAGGCCGACCTTTACGACCTGGCGCGGGCCATGGATGTCAACATTCTGACGGGCCCCCCCGGGCCAAGTCCGACGCGGCCCCGCCGTTCGCAGCTGTGTCTGGTGATTCCGATCAACCTGGCCTGCAGATCACTTGGAAGGTGCCGCTGCTTGTAAAGACCAACGTGCAGTTTGTGCACAAATGCCGCGTTTTCTGGGCCCATGACAGATGTCAAATCCGCCGCGGCTCCATTGCATGCGCCTGCGCCAGGCGCCCCGAGCTGGCCTGATCAGTGGGCCGTGGGCGACCTGCTCGCGCAGGGCTGAGTGTCGTGGTGGTCGCCGTGCCCACTCTCGTTTTTTTCGGTTCTGTGCATCTCGCCCCCGCCTCTTCGCTCCCCTCCCTTCCTTTTCCCGTCTCAGGGGACGACGGCGCGCGGCGCGTGTAATTAACCTCGCGCATCTTTCCGTGGCGGCGGCGTCGGCAGCGGGGTAGAGGGCCGGAGTGCTTTCCGCGCCTCCCCCTGCAGGTGCGGCTGCGGATCCTCTTCTCCTTCTGCCCCATGTTATGCTTTTGTGCCGCGCCGCGACGTTGGCTTCGTATGTACCGGTTGATAGCGGGGACTCCATGTCGGGCGACACGGAGCTCGCGGGGCGGTGGAGGAAAATGCTGCCGCGGAGGTATCCTCGCTTCTTTGTCGCGTTGCGCTTGTCCGCTGCTGCTTCGCAATTGCGATGCCTCGCTTGGCGAGGCCCCTGGTCTAATCGTCTCCCGCTTTGCGTTGTCTCTGCTTGACCGTCGTGCTGCGCTTGTTGTTTTTCTCCTTCGCGTTCGTGATGCGGTCATGTCTCCCTTGCTTCGCAGTCGTGCTTTCCCTTTCTGGCCTTCCGTTCATCATGCTGATGCCGCGTTGACCTTGTCTTGTCTTGCATGCTGTGGTGTCGCTGGTCTGACGTTTCTACTTCGCAGTTGCGATGGTCGTGATGCTAATGCGGCGCTGACGTTGTCCTGTGTTGTCTTGACCTGTGCACTCTGGATTGTTCGGGGCGCTTGCTGGCCGCATGCTTGCGTCGCCCTGTCGTGCCCTGCGCAGTCGTGGTGCGCCGCTGGGCGGGGCCCCTCTGCGCCCCTCTGTCGACGCCGCTGCCCGGTGCGCTCCCCTCCGTTGTCGGCGCCCGCGCCTGCGAGCCTGCTCCCGTGCCCCCGCCTGGGCCTGGCCTCCTCGTGGGCCGGCGAAGGGCGCTCTGCGTGCGCACTCCCCCTCGTCGCCCGGCCCCCCCCCCCCCCGCGCCTCCCCCGCCCCTCGGGCGCCGCCGCGCGCGAAGGGGCCCCCGCGCGCTCCCCCGCCGCCTGCGGGAGGGCAGGGCCTGGGCGCCGAAGGGGGAGCGGTCGGCGGGCCCCTCGCCGAGAGGAGGCGGCCGCGGCCCGGGCCCCGCTGCGGGGCAGTGCCCCGCTGTGGGGCGGCCGAGGGGAGGTCGGCACTGTGCGGTCAGAGCTGCTCTCCAGGACGTGCTGGCCTTGCTTGGGCTAGCCTTGGGCCAGCCCCGCCGCGCCCGCGCGACGTTGCGCGGCGGGCGGTCTCTGAGTCCGCCGAGCCCTGGGCGTGGGCGGAAGAGCCCGAATGTTTTCTGCGCAGGGAGGTCTCCCCGATTCTGGGTTCCAGGCCTGCTGCTGGTTTGGAAATCGCTTCCCCTGCGCAGGACGGCAGGGCCTCGGGCTTCCCTACCTAACTCGCTTCCCTACCTACCGGCTCGCCCCACCGGCAAGTTCCCCACGGAATCGCCCTGGGGGTGCGACAGGGATGACCTGTTCATAAGGGATGGAGGGGGTTGATGAGGAGGAAGAGCAAGAGGAGAAGAAGGATGAGGAGGAGGAGGGGGAGGGGGAGGGGGAGGAGGAGGAGGAGGAGGAGGAGGAGGAGGAGGAGGAGGAGGAGGAGGAGGAGGAGGAGGAGGAGGAGGAGGAGGAGGAGGAGGAGGAGGAGGAGGAGGAGGGGCCAGGGATGCGGGGGAAACATCAGTGACGAGAAGTGAGTGACCACCTTGTGAACTTTTGTGGGGGGCTCGTTGAGCATCTGATGGGGCGCTTCTGCGGAATCCTCATGCGCCCTGGCGGCCCAAATTGTAAGGTTGCAAAGCTACGGCCTAGCGATCCAGGGTGTAAGGGTGTAAGGTTGTACGGCGACACCCCAGCAGCCCAGGGTGTAAGGGTATAAGGATGTATGGCTACACCCGAGCGGCCTAGGGTGTAAGGGTGTATTGGCATAAAGGTGTACCTTTGTAAGGCTACACCGCAGCGGCCTAGGGTGTAAATGTGTAAAGGTGTAAGGTTATGCCCTAGCGCAAACCCTCCTCCTACTCCTTCCGTGAAGCACGCGACACTTCAGTCCAAGGTGAAATCGGTAGCTGGCGAGGGGCTGCGCTTCTCGTTCCTGCAGCCGCCGGACGTCCAGTTTGACCTGACTGGAATAGGAGGGTTTTGCTCAGGGCTCTCCAGAAAGGGTGATCGTTTTGAGGAATCGTTGGATTTGTCTTCGACCCTCTGCAGATGCTCGCGTGGGGTCAGCGGAGGCTGGCAGAAATCAAACGAGATCGGTTCTGGCGGAAGGTCGACGGAAGCCCCGCGGAAGGAAAGGTGAGCCTCCAAGGGGGGTTCACGCCGGGATACTCAGGGGTTCGGGAGTCGGTAACTTTGCCTAGAGGGGATACTTAGATCAGCACGCCCAGCTGACATGTGTTTTCCTGCTTCCAGAGGGGGGAGCAGAGAGGACGAGGAGTAGGGCGAGAAGTTGGATTTTGGAGAAGGGATGGAGGGAGGATGCGAATGAGGCGGAGGGGAAGATAATGCACTGGGCATGCACGATTACTCGATTGCGTTGGGGCGGCGATTGGGTCCTTCTGCCAGGGCGCATCAATTTTTGAATGCTACCTGTACGCCCCAGCGATGCCGTCATGGGCCTGGCGTGCGTTCTAGGCGAGGGTGTGTGGCAGCAGCTTAAAGGGAGGTGTAGGAGATGAGGAGGGAGGTGGGAGGCACCAGGTGCGTGTCGCAGAAGTGCGGTTGCACCTGCCTTGAGACAGGAACACCCCCACTGGGCTCTTAATAGTCGGCGGCGGGCGAGGGGGGTAAATGAGAAGGATAAGGGTTTCTCAGGAGGCGTCTTCTCAGAAGCCCTCGCGCCTTCTGGGAATTTGTTTCTGTCTCCGGGGAAGGCTTAAAAACTTCTCAGAAGGCCAAGGGGCTTCCGAATCTTCGGAGAACGCTTTCTCCTTCTCGCTTCCCCCCTTGCTCGCTGCCGAAATAAGGATGCCATGGTGTCTTTGGCTCAAGGCACTCCTCTGATTGTCGTTGATGGCACCCTCCAGGGTCCTACCGCTGTCTTGATGTGTGTACTCATATCCGTATCTGCACACGTCGATGTGCAGTTTCGCCATCTGTTTATATGTTCATGCGCTGCCTGTGGTAAGGCAGACAAGCCTGGTGGTAGCCTCGGGAGTTTGATCCGAGAAATTATAGCTCGGAGGGGCCATGCCTCTAGCTACTTTTGCCGCCCTCAAGTGGTAGCATAACTCACGGGCATGAGGCACCTTCGCTTCATGAATTTAGTGATTGTGCAGGGAACTCGGACGATCGCACCACCTTCGGATATGATTTACCACGCCACAAGGGTTTCACAGAGAGCTCTCAGCCTGCACCTCTCTGTGGTCAACCGTCGTATCCTCTGAATACGGAAGACTTTTGACGATGACTGCTGCTGATGATGATGATGATGATGATGATGAGGATGATGATGATGATGATGATGATGATGATGATGATGATGATGATGATGATGATGATGATGATGATACTGATGATGATAATGATGGCGAGGAGGAGGAATAGGGAATAGGGGCGTTGATGGAACAAGGAATTGCAATCAGAGTGCTCCCCTTCTCTTAGTGGCCGTGACCGCCCCGCAATGGGGCTGCCTGCCACCCTGAGAGGCATTCGGTGCACTGCCCCTTTGGTTCTTCCCCCCTCCCTCTGCTCCCTGTCCCTTCCGTCGCCTCCCTCCTCTCCTCCCCCTCCCCCGTCATATCGTGTCTTCCCGTCTCTCCTTTTTTCTGGTAGCATATCCCCTCTCTCTTCTCCTCTCCTCTCCTCTCCTCTGCTCTCCTCTCCTCTGCGCTTTTTTTCTCTTTTCTTTTCATTTCTCCTCCTCTCCTCTCCTCCCCTCTCTCCTCTCCTCTCCCCTCCCCTCCCCTCCCCTCCTCTCCTCTCCTCTCCTCTGTTCTGCTCTCCTCTCCTCTCCTCTCCTCTCCTCTCCTCTCCTCTCCTCTCCTCTCCTCAGCTCTCCTCTTTTCGCACCTTTAGGCCAGTCGCATGCATTCGGTGCCTGGCGTAGCCATTGGTATGCCCGTGGCTCTTCCCTCGGGCAAGTCCGCGCCCCACGCCCCAGGCAAGGCTCTGCAGCTGGCGCCCATGTTCAAGCGCAGCCTCCAAGACGTGTTGAAGGACAAGGTGTCCGAGATCTGCGTCCTTCCGAACTGGATGGCGTTCGCGTGGCCTGGGTCGGGGCGTGATGTGGGGCACTCCAGAAAAGGAACTCGACTTCGAGGACCGAAGGATTTGGCACCTCTTCGTCGGCGGAGGAAGGGCGGAAGGCGGCGGAAGTAAATGGGGGGCGGCTCCGTGGACAGAAGCCCGCCGAAGCCGAAGCCGCCCCCTCTCCCCCATCCTCCCCTCCTCCCCATTCTCCTCTTCCTCACCTCTTCCCCTCCCGCCCCCTCTCTCCCTCCCCTCCTCTCCTTCTCCCCCTTCCCCCCCCCGCCCCCCACTCCCCCCTCCGAGCTCCTGCCCCCCGCCTCCCCTCCCCAGGAGGAGGAGGAGAACGAGGAGGAGGCGGATGAGGATCAGGATTAGGATGATGATGAGGATGATAGTGGGGATGATGATGACGATGATGACGATGATGATGATGATGCTGATGATGATGAAGATGATGATGACGATGCTGATGCTGCTGATGATTATGACGACGACGATGATGCTGCTGCTGATGATGCTGCTGCTGATGATGATGATGAGGACGATGATGATGATGATGATGAGGATGATGATGCTGATGATGATGATGCTGATGATGATGATGATGATGATCATGATCATGACGATAATGATGATGATGATGATTGTGCTGATGGTGGCGATGATGATGATGCTGATGATGCTGCTGATGCTGCTGCTGATGCTGCTGCTGATGATGCTGACGGTGATAATGGTGATGCCGATGATGCTGACGCTGGTGCTGGTGCTGATGCTGATGCTGATGCTGATGCTGCTGATGATGAGGCTGTTGCTGCTGATGATGCTGATGCTGCTGATGATGAGGATGCTGATACTGATGATGATGATGCTGCTGCTGATGATGATGATGATGATGACGATGATGATGATGATGATGATGATGATGATGATGATGATGATGATGATGATGATGATGATGATGATGATGCTGATGCGGATGCTGATGTTGATGATGCTGATAATGCTGATGGTGACGACGATGTTGATGCTGATGGCGATGATGATGTTGTTTTTGCTGATGTTGATGCTGATGCTGGTGCCGATTATGATGATGGTGGTGGTGATGATGATGATGCTGATGATGATGAGGAGGAGGAGGAGGAGGAGGAGGAGGAGGAAGAGGAGGAGGAGTTGTACACGAGGAGGAGGAGGAGGAGGAGGAGGAGGAGGAGGAGGAGGAGTTGGGGTGGGAGGGAAATGAGGAGGAGGAGGAGGAGGAGGATGATGATGATGATGATGATGATGCTGATGATGATGATGATGATGATGATGATGAGGATGCTGATGCTGATGATGATGATGCTGATGCTGATGCTGATGCTGATGCTGATGCTGATGCTGATGATGATGATGATGATGATGATGATGATGATGATGATGATGATGATGATGATGATGATGATGATGATGATGATGATCTGAGCACATCGATTATGATACTGCAACTTTCTCGGACCGAGACCGCCCCGCGCTGCGCGCCAGGCGCGCGCGCGGTTGATGCGTGGGGGACCGCGGCCAGAGCGCTGGCGGTCCACGAGCCTGCCCTTGGATTCGAGGCCTGTTCAAGGGCCACTCCCAGCGGCGAGGTGGCCGCGCAAGAGGCGGCGGAGGACCCAGAGTGGGTCCCCTGGGTCGTCATCCTAGACAGCACCCATCGCGGGCCGCCCAAAGGGGCGGCAGGTGCCGAACCTGTGGTTCGGGCCGCCCCTTCCGCTGGCAGCCACTGCTACGCAATCTGGGCCGCCGCGGGTTCAAGCGAGGACCTCGTCGGGGCGCACGCAGGAGGCGCGGTCGCGTGTCAGGCGATCGTCGCCGGACTCGGAGACGCCAAGTGCCCTAGCGGGCGGGATCACCTGCGTCGGTTCTCATCGTTGGGCGGGACAATCAGGTTCTTCGACGAGCAGCGGGACTATTCATACATTGTCAAGGTCTTCGACTGGACCAGGGCACAATGGTGACGCTGCCATCTTGGGTGCTGCAGCAGACCGTGGACGTCCTGCTTCGCTCGTGGCTGCTCGAGCTGTCTATAGCCGGGGCCCGAGCCGCTGGCGCGACAACGAAGTGCGAGGCCCGCGTCTTCGGCGCCAAGTTCGTGGGGCTCGAAGGCCTCGCGACGCCTTAAGCCATAACGACCTCAGCGACCTCGAGCTGGAGGAGCGCCTCATCGTGGTGCCCGTCTGCCTCCCTCGCGACGTCGGCTCATTCGCTTCCGTAGACGATGTCTCGGTGATGTTGCAGTCGGCCCTTGGCGAGGAAGTGCCAGCGTGCGTGGCCTGCGCGAAGGTCTCGCTGGCGTTCCTGGCCCGACTCGCCGAGAGCTGCGCGGAGGACGAGGCAATCGAGTTCTTCGGCTCAGCTGGCGGGTCTGCTCGGCCGGACCTGCTCGAGCGGGCCGATCACGCCCCGCAGCCCGTGAACATCGGGATCCTGCTCGGGCCCGTCGCGTTCCCTGACCCCGCCCCCCAGGGCGACCCGGGGCGCGTCGGCCTCCTAGCTGTTTTCCGTCGGCGGGCAGATCGATGGGGAGGGGTACCTCGCCGCCGAAGAGAACGATCGCGAGGGCGCGGGGGGCGACGAGGTCGACGCAGCCCGCGAGGCTGCCGTGCAGGAGTGGGCAGGTCGGTCTAATGGCGCCTACGTGGCGGGCAGCCCGGGAGCGGAGGGAGAGGGGCTCCTGGCGGGTCAGGGGGGCCCATGGTTCCGCCCGCTGGGCGCCCCCCCATCGACGGGTGACGCTGCCGCTGGCCGCGCCCGCGGAAGGTCCCGCGCCTGTCGCCCCTCCCGAAGCAGGTGGGCGCGCGGGGCGCACGGCGAGGCAGGGGCCCGCGGCGCCCGCTGCGAGCGGCGCCAGGAGGGCCGCAAGCCCGCGTCGCGTCAGCGTCTCGCGCAACGACCTTCAGTCCGCCCTCGGGGGCTTCAAACACGACCTGTGGGAAGCCATTTGGCGGCCAACTGAGGGGCGTCTCGAGCCGAATCGAGCGGGTCGAGAGGGGAAGCGTGGAGGCCCGCGGCCTCGCTTCTGCGGGCCCCTCCTGTCGCTCCGCGGTCGCTCCGCTGGGCGGGGCCCTCCGCGGGCGCGCTGGTGCCTGCCGCCCCCTTCGTCCCGAGCAGGTCCCCCTTCCAGAGCTCGCCCGCGGCGCCGCCCAGGGCGGCGGCTCAGCGTCTGGGTCTGCGGCCCGCCCCGACGCCTTCCCGGCGACGGCCCGGGGGCTGCTCTGGCAGTCCGACGGGCCCCCTTTTCGCGAGCAGGACAGCCGCGCGGCTCCAGAGAATGGGGTCGACCTCGAGCTCGGGGCCCTCGTCGAGGTGGGCGGCCGCGATGCCGACGAGGCCATCCAGCTTGCGATGCTGCTGGCGCTGGAGAGATTCGGCGGCTCCGCGAAGGTGATAGGACGGCGAGCCCGCCCTGGCTCGAGCTCCGGAGAGGCGGACCCAGTGGCCAGGATCAACGGTGCCAAGGGGGCAGCAGGGTCCCTGGCGCTCAACAGGGCCATCGAGCTCGAACCGCAGAGGTAGTCTGCCCACGTCGACGCCGCGGCCTTCGTCGAGCTCGGCTGCGACGCCACAGGCGTGCCGCGAGGCGTGTCGCTCTGCGGCAGGCTGAGGATCAGCTTCTGGCGCCTCGAGGACCGCGGGTGCCCTGGGAGGTGCTGGCGCCCCTCCGCGCGCGTCGCAGGTCGCAGCTGCGCGACCTCCTCGGTGCCCTGGCTGGCCAGCCTACGAAGGCCGCGCATCATGCAGTGTATTCGATCCTTGGAGGCTGGCCTGGCTGATCACGGGGCTCCCGGGCCCTCGGCGCAGAGCGGGCCAGGCGGCGAGGGGCCTCGCGCGCCCCGCAGCTCGCAGCCTCGGTCGCCTACTTGCGGAAGAGATAGGCACTCGAGGGCGCGCTCGAGAGAGGGGGCGGGGGCGCCGCCGAGGACTTAATGGGGGGCGTCTTCGGCCTACTTCGCGTCGACGGCAGCGTGGCCCCGGGACAGCTGCGCGGGCTGACCCAGGGGTTCAGCTATCTCGAGGGGCTCGTCGGCATCGGCGACTTGCCCAGAGCTCTTGGGTCGCTGCGATGGGGGCGGGGCCGTCCATCACTTCCGCTCGTTCCAGAACCTGGGGCTGCTGCAATGCCGTGGACGCTGCGGGTGTGCCAAATCCATGTGTCGCAATCTCCAGATGGGCGCGACCGCCTTCTCCTTCGCCCGCGTGTCGTCTGACGGGCGACAGCGTGTCCATCGACTTGCTCAACTCGCTCCAGCTGTGTGGGATGCTGGGCGACTGTGCCGCCGACGCACTGGGTGGGCTGACGGCAAGGTTGGCGCAGGTCGAGAGCTCTCAGTCTCTGGGGCTCTGTGAGGCCGCGCGGCAGAACCCGCTCCGTCGCGCCCCAGCGCTCCGGGCCGCCTTTTGACCAGCCTTTTCTCGCGCGCTTCATGCGTGAGGTGCTTTGGAAAACGAGCGTCGCAGATCGTGTGAGCGCCGCAGATATGAGGGTAGAAGGAAGTGATCTGCAGCTTTGTAGCCCTTCCCCCCCGCCTTCGCGAACGCCTTCTCAGCCGGTCACGAGCGTTCTGCCTTTGAAACTCTGTGAGGCCGCGCGGCGAGGCCATCGCCGCTGCGTCCTGACGCCCCTGGCCGCCCTGTGGCTTGCACTTCCTTGCAAACTGCGCATATGGGGTGCTAGGGAAAAGGAGCGTCGGAGATGCTGTTGTTGATGATGATGCTGCTGATGATGATGATGATGATGATGATGATGATGATGATGATGATTGTGATGATGCTGATGCTGATGATTCGCGTGATGCCGATGGTGACGCTGATGTTGTTGATGCTGATCGTGCTGATGCTGATGGGGGCGGTGATCACCATGATGATGCGGATGATGATGATGATGATGGTGACTATGGCGGTGATGATGTCGGTGATGGCGCTCGTGATGACCATGCCGATGAGGACAAACACCATTATGGTGACTATAATGGCGGTGGTGACCAGGCTGAT